CTTTCCCTATGTCACCACATCTGGCGAAGGTAATGTTTGTAAATGTTAACACCATCTGCCTTGAGAGCTCTCTAGGAAGCCCAAAACCCCTTCCCTCTAGGAAGGACTGAAAATTAAGAAATATTTTAAAGTATGTTCTGATGCAATAAATCGGTGTCAGCTGTGGAACGTGCCTGACTCTGCCAGAAAGAGTCTGGTGGAAGCCTTAGACATGACACTGCACCTGTTTGATCTTTGGAGGTCACGTTGTAATAACAGTGTGGTTCATTCTTTCAGAATGACCAGATCAGACCCTCTGATTTCTTGCCTTCTGGTGGTTTTGCTTTGAACACTTTAACATTACAATTCTACCTTTATCTTGTGCTTTTATTTAGGTCTCCAGATCATACCAAATTTGTTGGAAGCTTCAAAACAAAGCAAGACTTTATAGATCTGATTGAAGTTATTTACCGTGGAGCAATGCGTGGAAAGCTTATTGTGAGAAGTCCTATTGATCCCAGGAACATTCCTAAATATGACCTTCTCTATCAAGGAATTTAAAAGGTTGACCTGAGATAAAGAACTACAGAAATAACCAATGTTCTATATCCACCCCTTTTTTTTTCCTTCAAGCATTTTTAGCCACTTCTGACACTGTGGGACAGTTTGAGCATTTACTTTGAAGGATCATATTGGTCTCCTGAAGACAGACATTCTGTCACCTCGTACTTCTCTTGTAAATAAAGCTACATCTTAATGTGTAAAATTCATGAAAGTGACTATTCTTTGAGTTGCACGCTAACCAGCACCTGCAAAACAGGCAAGTTGTATGCATCCTCAATGACAGCATCTCGAGTGCAACTTTCTTAGGTGAAATGAAGCACAGTATTCTAATTCTGTTAATTGTCAATTTAGTACCATTTTCATTCAGATGTCATAGCAGTAAACCTGTCTCTCTGTTAATTGTCAATTTAGTACCATTTTCATGTTTTCATGCAGTAAACCTGTCTCGTATTTTAAAAGCTATGCTTGCTCACAAGACCATTGAATGGACTGTGCCTTTCCAATGGAATTTTACCCTTTTATCCATTACTGTATATAACAGGGTGGAAGCTTTTTCAAGCACTACTAGACATGACTGAAATCTGAAACAGATATAAACACAAAAGTGAAGTGGACACCGTATTTTCCTGCTACCCAGTATTTTTTTGACTGAGATGGGAACTGAATCGTAGAACAAGGTTTTGTCATCCTTCAAAGCTCTTTTGCAGCCACTGAGCATGTTTAATTATCACAGGATTAGAATGGAAATTCAAAATAACTTTAAAGGTTATTTAACCTTTGGCTTGAATACATTGCAGTCCTTGAGTACTTAAAAACTATTTCCCACTTCTGTCTAAAATTAAATAGCTGAGAGAAAACAGCAGTGTCATTCTTTTGCATTAGTTTGATAATTGCAGATTGCTAGAGTATTGTATTATGATAGCAACTCACGCCCAGTAATCTTACTGGCTTAGTAAATGGATATTAGTTTAGCTCACTGTGTCATGTTTGGGGCATACCATCTCTGACTGGAGAGAAGGTAGTAGTAGGTAGTTCCCTGAAGTATTTTTCAACTTAACAGTAAACATTTCAAGGAGGAAGGTGGATTTTTGAGCTCTTGAAGGATTTTAAATACCATATGGTATATAATGAGGAGGAAATAGATGCTTTACATGTTTTTCGTATTCCAGATCTGTATTTTCAATTAAAGCTATGCATTTAAGTGACTGCTTTCCTGATAGTTTTGTCTGATTATAGAGCCATGACTGCAGAATGTTTATTTTAAAAACAATACAGATGAGATTTGGTATATGTGAACATCTTTATTTTGTGCAACATTACATTTCATAGACAGCTGAAGGGTTATGGCTTAAGGCTTTCAAAGATTTCTTGACAGTTAACTTGTATGTCTCTTTCTCAAAAACAAACAAACTAGCTTCAAACTTAGAATTGTAAGTTGCTCCACAGTGAGAGTAAGGTCCTTAGATGACTGAAATGTGTGGAGGCAGTTATGAAAGGAAGAGACCACTGTGGAGAACAAATCAGTATACCTTTATTTGTTGCCTCTCTTCTTACTTGTTCTGCTTCTGGTTGCAACAGGTGAATGCCTAAAGGCTGTTCTGGTCTTGGCTTTCAGTGCACTCTTCAGGTATTTAAAAACAGCATGTAAGCAGCAAGAGGGTGCTAAACCATACTTTTCCGTTCCAGCAGAGACAGTAGGACAATTCATCTTCATGGGAGAAACTACAGCTTTATCTAGAGGCTTACTGTTTGATACCCATTCACGGCAGCGTTTCTGTATCCATTCTTGTATTTGTGGATCATTCCTAGCCTGGTGCTGTGTGTTGTGCATGGAGTCGATGAATGCCACAGTGTACACTTTATTCATTACCTCCCATTTTCTCTGTGCTAGCAGATCAACAAACACCAAGCCACCATAGCCGTGGGCAATGAAGGCCACATTTCTGGTTGCGCTCTTCGAAATGAAATGATCCCATACATACATGGTATGTTCCTCAGGGCTGCTGCTGCCCCACTTGGGGATCCAGCAGTTGGACTGCACAGAAGTCAGTGATTCTTCCCTGGTAGTAAAGCTTAACCTCTTATTTTCAGTCTCCAGATCAACAAAGTTGTCATTGGGGTTCAGTACAATCACTCCCCTGTGGCTTTGAAGGGCCATTTTGATGAATGGTATTTGTGTTCCATGCTCCAGGCCGTCACTGACAATTGTCTTTCGCCCCCACTGTCCAGCACGGAAAACTCCACAGTCTTGAAGAAGGACAATTAGGCTAGAAGAACTTGTTAGTGCATTCTCACTCATGAAGAAGAAACTTCTTTGTTCATCCTCTGGAGCATCAGTAGGAATATAAACTTTCTGCAACATGCAGACTCTTTCCAGGAGCTCATAGACATATTGTGTAATCAAATGCCCCAAAACTTGGTAGCGTTTATGATTCTGCTCATGCGCATTCTTGTAATAATTGAAAACAAAGGACTCATTTGTATCCAGGTGCCTCAGTTCCCCTTTTATATTGAAGTCATACTTCAGCTCCTCTTGTTGCTCTGATCCCTCTAATAGTTTCCTCAAGCTTAGTTTGTGCTGCATTTGTAACCACTACAAAGTAAGAAGACTGTGTCAATGCAGTGGTAGACTTCCATGCAACACCTACCTAAAGAAAACCTGTAGTACTAGAATTCAGCTTTTAAAGTGGTTACAAACAAAACACTCCTTGGTAATTATCTCTTGTTGGCACAGAGGTAGCATTCCATATCAATAAGGAATAGATAAGTGCAGTTTCCTCACAGAATGGCATGCCATTCAACTTTCTCTCCTCATCCCTAAAAGTTTGGAGGCTGTAGTTACCTAGCATACTATGGACAGGAAGTTACTATGCCCTTCCATTGGTTACTGGCAACAACGGTGCTTTTACAGTTCCAAAACAAGGATACATTATTCCAAATTACACACTATGTATCTAATATTGAACTTCTACTGATTTCTGAAGATTTCAGGAAGCAGAAACAAACAAACAAAAAAATACAGCTTTACATCAGACATAGGCATGATTTCCTAAAATGGCCTTTAAGGTGTGAACTGAAAGGTTTTGAAGCAATTTATAGTAAGTTACTGCTTAAGGGTTAAACTTGAATGGCACCTTAGAGTAATATACTTACTACTCTGGAGGACTGATTTTACTGTAGTAATGCCATTTATGGAATAAAAAAAGCAGCAGTTATAGTTTGTTCTAGATACAGCTGCAGAGTGCAGTTAGTTCTTTCTGGTAATTGTACGGTCTAAATCAGTTTTGACTCTTGTTTGTGCTTCATTGTCTATATATAAATGCAATATCCAAGGCTGTTTTATTCTGGCAGCCTTTAACATTGCCATTTTGATTTTTTTAAAAAACTACTATGGGAGGAATCTCTCTTTCCCCTCCTCCCACTTTTCTGTTTGGATAAGATTCTGTAAGATTGTGAGCTGGTGATGTTTACAGCAGTTGGCCTGTCAGAAACACTACTGCAGTACACGTATTACTCTTCATGAGGTTTCCAATTTAAAAACAATTCCCTCTCTTCTAGTAAAGCCCATCATTACCGTATGCTCTCCTGTACAATCTGTCGTCATCATAGATGGCAATCTCCTTCACTCTGGGATTGTAGTTTCTCTGCATGAAAAAAAAATAAGCCCATTTTAGTTCAGGATTCATTACTTTATGTACTTTATTCTGGGGTGTGTCTATAAACTGCATCAGTTGCTGATACCAAGGCTAAACTGTTTCAGACAGTTCCAATGCACAAACTAACACGTCCCCTTTGTAATTCACACCTGACCGCAGCTAAATTTCTCGCGTGTGAAACTAAAAAGTTACCTAAACTAGTTTTGCAGGGCTTCCTGTTAACTTCATCTAAAGACGCTACCAAGAGGACAAAATAGAAAGCTGCGAACAAAACTCACAATTCCGAAGCTGCCCTGAAGAACGAAACGAAACAAAACAAAACAACCCACCAAAGCAACAACCACCAAAGACCGAAAAGCCCAAGCAGACAA